CCGAGGTATGTGGGCTCCTTATCCTCTCTCAGGGGTACTCCATTTATGTGCATGGCGCCTGATTTTTGTTTAGGAGAAAGGGTAAAGAGAGTGGTGCTGCATTTGCCTATGTTGATGCTGACACACCATTTGTCGGCCCATTTAGCCATTGCATCTATGGCTCTTTGTAGCAGTCTGGTGGCCACTGTCGCATTTTCATTTGTACACCAGAGTACCAAGTCAGGTTCTGCTTCTAAAAGAGATATACGGTTCTGCTTCTAAAAGAGATATACGGTTCTGTTTCTAGACAGATAAACGGTTCTGTTTCTAGACAGATAAACGGTTCTGCTTCTTGAAGGAGATATACGGTTCTACTTCTTGAAAGAGATATACGGTTCTGCTTCTTGAAAGAGATATACGGTTCTGCTTATTGAAAGAGAAATACGGTTCTGCTTCTAAAAGAGATTTACGGTTCTACTTCTTAAAAGAGATTTACGGTTCTACTTCTTAAAAGAGATTTACGGTTCTACTTCTTAAAAGAGATATACGGTTCTGCTTCTTGAAAGAGATATACAGTTCTGCTTCTTGAAAGAGATATACGGTTTTGCTTCTAGTCAGAGATATAAGGTTATGCTTCTTAAAATAGATATGCGGTTTTGCTTCTAGTCAGAGATATACGGTTATGCTTCTAGACAGAGATATACGGTTCTGCTTCTTGAAGGAGAAATACGGTTCTGCTTCTTGAAGGAGATATGCGGTTCTGTTTTTTGAAAGATATATACGTTGTTGTTCTCCTTTTCATGAATGCCTTGTGTCAGCGTTTCCCAACCTTCTCTTGGTCGCGGCGCCTTAAAAAAAAAATTTTTAATTAGTTTTTCAACGGCGCCTTAAGTAAAAGTATGACTATTCGTGTCTTGGTTAAATTAAATATGAAGCTTTTACAATATTTTGCGGCGTTCCTGTGAAGAACTCGTGGATTCCCAGGGCGTCGCGGCTCACAGTTTGGGAATCACTGCCTTATGTGGTATGGCGTCACAACGCATTCTCTCCAAGTGGCCAAACCATTTAATTTGCTGTCTTTGTGTGTAATTTAGAATTGGTAAAACACACACTACCTGGCCACACTTCTGACAGTATGAGCTTGTTCACTGAAACGCAACGAGGACAGCGTTGGCTGCAGATCAAATCAAGTAAGAGGGAGAAATGACTCTGCCGTCACTACTTTTTTACGGGTTGATAAATTGTTTTGGAGGGAAACACAGTCAGCGGCAGTGTGACATGGGACATTCATAGAATACACGACCAGGGTTTTTGTGACATGGGACATTCATAGGACACACGGCCAGGGTTTGTGTGACATGGGGCATTCATAGAACACACAGCCAGGGTTTTTGTGACATGGGACATTCATAGGATACACGGCCAGGGTTTGTGTGACATGGGACATTCATAGGATACACGGCCAGGGTTTGTGTGATTGGGACATTCATAGGATACACGGCCAGGGTTTGTGTGACATGGGACATTCATCGGATACACGGCCAGGGTTTGTGGGACATTGATAGAACACACGGCCAGGGTTTGTGTGACATGGGTCATTAATGGAATACACAGCCAGGGTTTGTGTGACATGGGACATTAATGGAATACACGGGCCAGTCATTGTATGACATGATGGGACATTGGTGGAGTACATGGCCAGGGCTTGTGTGACATGGGACATTGATGGAATACACAGCCAGGGTTTGTGTGACATGGGACATTGATGGAATACACGGCCAGTCATTGTATGACATGATGGGACATTGATGGAGAACATGGCCAGGGCTTGTGTGACATGCGACATTGATGGAGTACATGGCCAGGCCTTGTGTGACATGGGACATTGATGGAATACACAGCCAGGGTTTGTGTGACATGGGACATTGATGGAATACACGGCCAAGGTTTGTGTGACATGGGACATTGATGGAATACATGGTCATGGTTTGTGTGACATGGGACATTGATAGAATACACGGCTAGTGTTTGTGTGACATTGATGGAATACATGATCAAAGTTTGTGTGACATGGGACGTTGGTGGAATACACAACCAGGGTTTGTGTGACATGGGACGTTGGTGGAATACACAACTAGGGTTTGTGTGACATGGGACATTGATGGAATACACAGCCAGGGTTTGTGTGACATGAGACATTGATGGAATACACGGCCAGGATTTGTGTGACATGGGACATTGATAGAATACACGGCTAGGGTTTGTGTGACATGGGACATTGATGGAATACACGGCCAGGGTTTGTGTGACATTGGACATTGATGGAATACACGGCCAGGGTTTGTGTGACATTGGACATTGATGGAATACACAGCCAGTCTTTATCACTTTCTCCTTCTTTTCCTCCTCCTACTCCTTGAAAAGACAGTTGACACGTGATGCCTCGGGGGGCCCAAACATCCTATTTCGTTATACACCTAATTAATCCTTATTTTCGAGATGATTTTTATGGGGTTCGTGGGTCTGTGCCACACCCCTGCCCCTCCCCATCATTGCGAAAAGTTAGTTTTGTTTATAGGTGTATGTATGTTAGTTATATTGGTATGGTCAACATTGCATCAACCACCTTGACTACTCATAACATCTGCTTCCATAAGTAAATAAAAAGGTAATAATACTAGTAATAATGGCGTTTCCTGAGCTCTACGTGGCCAGACGGTTAAACCGTTTACCTCATGCTATGAAGGCCATTGTTTGTTTCCCAGGCTGAATCAGTTCCGACGCTCTAGGCAGGCGGCAGGCGGAGCCATGTGGGATAACACTCCGCGGAATGTATTTAGTTCTCACAACTTTAAAATTTCAAACTTTTTTTAATCTGATAATTCTACATAAACGTGTGGAATGGGATCTCTTTTTTTTTTTTTCCTCTTTATGTTTACCGACTGTAATCCTTGGCGGTAAGTTCTGGTTATTGGTCCACTTGTGTACCTTTGTCTTATTATAATACATGCGTTTTGCATGTCTAACTGTTTTACAGACCTGGCTATTTGTCTGTCAGGCAGATGTACACCGACTTCGAAGGAAACATCCTAATTAGTCGCCTCTTACGACATGCCTGTTAGGTGCAATAGGTTAACAGCCCCTTCCCTCAGCAAAAAGAGACCCCGGAACCCAGACTGGAAATGAAATTGTCCATCAAAACCGAAAGGGTAGAAATCGAACCAGACAGTAGTGCAAATGACTAATACCGCGATCTGTATACCTTACTTTTTTTTTCTTAAACACATTGATCAGAGAAAATGACGCCGAACTTCAGTTTTCAGAAACAAACTGGTTTAAAAATAAAGAAATTTCCTGGTATAAATTGCGAGCCTGTACATTGCTGAAATTGTTGGTGATTGCTTGCACTAGCTCTTGTATCTCTTACGTCTGGCGGCCATTTCCCATCTCGTTTTGAAATGGCATTTCCGGTTCCTCTGTCGTTTTCATGGGTAATCGGGTTAGGTTGTTGCCGCTCGATTGTGGGAGCTAATGTTTTCGCTGATTATTCTTGCATGCTTTATACTGTCTGCTTCCTAATGTCTCTATTTATGCTGCGTCTCTAAATTGTCGCTTCTCTAAATTGACGCTCACATCTTGTGTTGGATGTTTTTTGTGAGGAAAAGAATGCCAAGATCGAGGCACCCCATTAAAATTGGCTGAAACCTATAGCTAAAGAAACATAATTTTCATACTAGAAAATCTGGTACTTTCTGAAAAGCCGACAACAAACACGGGAAATCAGCAGATCTCGGGACAGTCAAATATTTGAGGGGGTGGTAGCTTAAGGTAAAGTTTTGGTTAGGGTTAGGTAAACGCGAAAACCTTGGCCTTGAAGGAAACGCGCTAAAGCACTGAAACCACTGAAAAGCCGCTTTTACCACCCTCTAAAATATTGGACTGTCCCGTGACGTCATTTGTAGTCGGCTGAAAAGAAAGCACCGAAAATCTGTGTAATTCGTCTAGGATACTGTGGGTGTCACACCCATTTTGTTACGGATTCGACTTTAAAAAAAAAAATTTAATTTACGTATAGAGATGATAAAGTATAGAAGACAAGGTACGATCTTGGTCAGACATGACTGCGCTACCATATGATAGTAGCTGGTACCACCTGTCTTCTGTTACGCCCAATGTTGCGTGGGGTATACCAAAACCTGACATCCCATATTGTGCCAGCGACTTCGGGCGGAGGAGCTCATTGGGGAGGATACTAGCCTTATCCTAGGAGGAGGAAATGTGACCTGAAAACTTTGTGTTATGGCAAGGCAGACCAGGCCTATCTCCCTGGCTGGCAGCTGGTCTAGGAGGGAAGCTCCGACAGGTGGACAGATAGATCACTGCTTTTTTGATCCCGCAGCTTCTGCAGCCTGGTTTGTTCCAAAACGTATTGGTTTTACCTTTCCTTTGGAGTAAACAAAGCAGGTCGAGACTGGGATCATTTTGCATGGGCAACATACGGTCTCTACAAAGGACACAAATGTTGAAAACAACGGCCCTGAAATCCCATGCTGGGGTTTGGTGTTTAAACAACGGATCAACATCATGACACACGGGTAGTAACCCATGAGTTCTCCGTTCTTCTTCTAACTCAAGTCTGAGTCCGAAGAAGCTCAGCACAGTGCACAGGCTCTGTAGCACCGGCGAGGATCCTGAAATACTTTGGGTAGATTTGCAACTCCAAATTTTGCCCGGGCAGCGCCGTTTGACTATTCTTTTCGATTGCCACCTGCCAGGGGAATTTTTTTACGTGCGCTACAATACATACGGGCGTCCTATCTCACTACCCAGAGACCACGGGAAATTACTAGAAGTCCAAGTCCACGTGAAAAAATGCTGTTAACAGGCAAAAATTCGCGTTGATCCGCCCAGGAGTTTTACGGGATATTTGATTAAGTTTGAAGGCGCAACTTTTGGAAGCGACTGTAACAGTAACAGGAATTGAACAATACAATTAAATTCTTTCGTTTTGTCTTCCACAGGGGCAAGTGTCAGGTGGTGCAGTACACTGACCTGAAGTCGGCCTGCAGCTTCGTCCCCCGGCCCGACCACTTCTTCTACATCCTCGCCTACAGGCCGGACAACAGGAGGCTGGCGACCACACAAGGCGAGATCAGGGTGGGGCCCAGCCACCAGGTACTGTCTGTCTCTGTCTGTCTGTCTTTGTCTCATTGTCTCTTAAAAATCTGTCTCTCTCAAACTCTCGTATATCTCTCTCTCTCTTTTCTTTCTAATGTGAGAACGCGTGTGGATATTTCTGGGCTAATCTCTTTCAACCAGAGAGAGAGAGAGAGAGAGAGAGAGAGAGAGAGAGAGAGAGAGAGAGAGAGAGAGAGAGAGAGAGAGAATGGATTTAAAGAAGATTGAGTCGCTGAGGAAAGCGTGTCCGATAGGAATCAGTCTTATTTTTGTACCAGGTCACACTGGGGTAAGAGACAATGAACGAGCGGATTGGCTTGCTGGCAGGGCCACGTTGAATACAGGAAAGGCAATGGACCGAGCCGAATTCTCAGTGCTCTCAAATATGCAGTATGAGCAGATGATTAATTCAGCAGACGACATTGAATCGGCATTATTCAAACGATTACAAGAACTTCGGGTAAAATGAGGTTTCGCCAGATAAGAACACTCTACAGGTAGTCAAAGAAGAATAGTAAACCAACACAGAACTGGTGTAATCAGTCTCCACACGCTGAGGGATATACGGAAGCTGGGATGCGACCGCTTATAGACTTGTTTGATGAGCAGTTATGATAATCTGTTAACTAATAAGAGAGAGAGAGAGAGAGAGAGAGAGAAGGGGGGGGGGGGGAAAGAGAACGATTCTTTTTATATTTAAGTTTTTTTTTAAACCATTCCCGGTGCTACGGTGTTTATACTGAAGGGGGGAAAAGGGGTCGGGGGGGGGGGGCAAAATATTAAAACTTGCATGTGTGACTCCTCGCACTTACAAACACATTGAGACCCTCCCCGAAACTGTGGAGTTAGTGCAATCTATAAACCTCAGAATAAGAAAGACCATTACTTAGGAGATTATGGTATATAATAAAAGCAGTCCTTGTCAAACCAAACTGGCTGTCACAATGTCCTAACAGCTTAATTCTGTGACATGTCTGTTTGTCTCATTGCTGACACCCGACAGGCGGGCTGCCGTTTCTTTGTGTCCTGAAAATCCTCGGAAAGCGAAACGATACCTTAGAAATAAACTGTCAGTTGCTGACTTCTGTCGCGGGTATAATAGACTAATCTCTGTATTGATAACCTATAATCTCGAGGGGGAGTCGGACAGTGGCACGTACCTGTTTTCCCGGTCGATGGCTTTGTGTAGAGTCGGTGTTTTCATGGCCTGCTGTGGCATGTGTTTGGTCTTTTCCTATCGGCCTGTGATTACTTTAGCTCCCCCAGTGCCGGCCTGTGATTACTTTAGCTCCCCCAGTGCCAGCCTGTGATTACTTTAGCTCCCCCAGTGCCGGCCTGTGATTACTTTAGCTCCCCCAGTGCCAGCCTGTGATTACTTTAGCTGCTTCAGTGCCAACCTGTGATTACTTTAGCTCCTCCAGTGCCAGCATGCGATGAATTTAGCTCCTTCAGTGCCAGTCTGAGAAATTACTTGAGCTCCTCTAGTGCTTGCCTGTGATTACTTTAGCTCCTTTAGTACTAGCTTCTAATTACTTCAACTCCTCTAGTACCAGCCTGTGACATTTTACCTCTTTTAGTACTAGCCTGTAATTACTTAAGCTCCCTAAGTACCAATCTGTGATTACTTTAGCTCCTTCCATACTTGCTGTTGATTACTATAGCACCTTTAGTACAAGCCTATGATTACTTCAGAACTTTCATTACTAGCCCCTGATTACTTTAGCTCCTTCAGTGCTAGCCTGCACCCCGTGATAACTTTAGCGCCTTCAGTCACACCCCTTGATTACTTTAGTGCCTTCAGTTCCACCCCGTGATTACTTTAATGCCTTCAGTCACACCTCGTGATTACTTTAGCGCCTTTAGTCCCACCCCGTGATTACTTTAGCACCTTAAGTTCCACCCCGTGATTACTTTAGTGCCTTCAGTCCCACCCCGTGATTACTTTAGCACCTTCAGTCCCACCTCGTGATTACTTTAGTGCCTTCAGTCCCACCCCGTGATTACTTTAGTGCCTTCAGTCCCACCCCGTGATTAGCACCTTCAGTCCCACCCCGTGATTACTTTAGCGCCTTTAGTCCCACCACATGATTACTTTAGCGCCTTTAGTCAAACCCCATGATTACTTTAGCGCCTTTAGTCCCACCCCATGACTACTTTAGTGCCTTCAGTCCCACCCCATGATTACTTTAGTGCCTTCAGTCCCACCCCGTGATTACTTTAGCGCCTTCAGTCCCACCCCGTGATTACTTTAGCACCTTTAGTCCCACCCCGTGATTACTTTAGCACCTTCAGTCCCACCCCGTGATTACTTTAACACCTTCAGTACCACCCCGTGATTACTTTAGTGCCTTCAGTCCCACCCCGTGATTACTTTAGTGCCTTCAGGCACACCTCGTGATTACTTTAGTGCCTTCAGTCCCACCCTGTGATTACTTTAGTGCCTTCAGTTCCACCCCGTGATTACTTTAGTGCCTTCAGTCCCACCCCGTGATTACTTTAGCACCTTCAGTCCCACCCCGTGATTACTTTAGCGCCTTTAGTCCCACCCCATGATTACTTTAGCGCCTTTAGTCCCACCCCATGATTACTTTAGCGCCTTTAGTCCCACCCCGTGATTACTTTAGTGCCTTCAGTCCCACCCCGTAATTACTTTAGCACCTTCAGTCCCACCCCGTGATTACTTTAGCACATTCAGTCCCACCCCGTGATTACTTTAACACCTTCAGTACCACCCCATGATTACTTTAGTGCCTTCAGTCCCACCCCGTGATTACTTTAGCAGCTTCGGTCCCACCCCGTGATTACTTTAGCACCTTCAGTCCCACGTCGTGATTACTTTAGTGCCTTCAGTCCCACCCCATGATTACTTTAGTGCCTTCAGTCCCACCCCGTAATTACTTTAGCACCTTCAGTCCCACCCCGTGATTACTTTAGCACCTTCAGTCCCACCCCGTGATTACTTTAACACCTTCAGTACCACCCCGTGATTACTTTAGTGCCTTCAGTCCCACCCTGTGATTACTTTAGCACCTTCAGTCCCACCCCGTGATTACTTTAGCACATTCAGTCCCACCCCGTGATTACTTTAACACCTTCAGTACCACCCCATGATTACTTTAGTGCCTTCAGTCCCACCCCGTGATTACTTTAGCAGCTTCGGTCCCACCCCGTGATTACTTTAGCACCTTCAGTCCCACGTCGTGATTACTTTAGTGCCTTCAGTCCCACCCCATGATTACTTTAGTGCCTTCAGTCCCACCCCGTGATTACTTTAGTGCCTTCAGTCCCACCCCGTGATTACTTTAGCACCTTCAGTCCCACCCCGTGATTACTTTAGTACCTTCAGTCCCACCTCGTGATTACTTTAGCGCCTTCAGTCCCACGCCGTGATTACTTTAGCACCTTTAGTCCCACCCCGTGATTACTTTAGTGCCTTCAGTCCCACCCCGTGATTACTTTAGTGCCTTCAGTCCCACCCCGTGATTACTTTAGCACCTTCAGTCCCACCCCGTGATTACTTTAGTGCCTTCAGTCCCACCCCGTGATTACTTTAGTGCCTTCAGTCCCACCCCGTGATTACTTTAGCACCTTCAGTCCCACCTCGTGATTACTTTAATGCCTTCAGTCCCACCCCGTGATTACTTTAGTGCCTTCAGTCCCACCCCGTGATTACTTTAGTGCCTTCAGTCCCACCCCGTATTTACTTTAGTGCCTTCAGTCCCACCCCGTGATTACTTTAGTGCCTTCAGTCCCACCCCGTGATTACTTTAGTGCCTTCAGTCCCACCCCGTGATTACTTAAGTGTCTTCAGTCCCACCCCGTGATTACTTTAGTGCCTTCAGTCCCACCCCGTGATTACTTTAGTGCCTTCAGTCCCACCCCGTGATTACTTTAGTGCCTTCAGTCCCACCTCGTGATTACTTTAGTGCCTTCAGTCCCACCCCGTGATTACTTTAGCACCCTCAGTCCCACCCCGTGATTACTTTAGCACCCTCAGTCCCACCCCATGATTACTTTAGCGCCTTTAGTCCCACCCCATGATTACTTTAGCGCCTTTAGTCCCACACCATGATTACTTTAGCGCCTTCAATCCCACCTCGTGATTACTTTAGCGCCTTCAGTCCCACCCCGTGATCACTTTAGCTCCTTCCGTACCAACCTGTGATTACTTTAGCTCCTTCAATCCCACTACGTAATTGTTTTAGCTCCTTCAGTACCAGCCTGTGATTGCTTTAGTTTTAGCGGGCCCTGGAGCCCGCACGGAGAAATTCATGGCATCCACAGGAATAGCCAGAATTGAACGGAGTTGGGGAATGATCTGCAAGCCCTGTGGTAACTGCACAATATGTTAATGGCGAGTATTAGGGACAGCATTTGCAGCCAGGCGTGAAATTGGTATCGACGACGAGCACAGCTTGAACACAAGCTTGATCGGTTTATGCTGGTCCAGTCTTAAAGATTAGTAGCACTTGAATGTGGAAATGGGGCGGCAGACTGCAGACACTTTAGCCCGCGAAGGCGATGTTTATGATGCAAGTACACACTTCCTCCCGGACTGAGACCATACCCACTTATGATATATATATATATATATATATATATATATATATATATATATATATATATATATATATATCCCAGACAGACATTAGTACATAAATAAAGATTGTTAATGTCAAAGAGTTCCCAGAACTGATTCCGTAGAATACACATTGTGGTGCTTTATTAATATCCTACCCCAGACAGGGGAAATTCACAGGTCACGGAAGTGTCTAATATTTCAGGAGGTGGTAGATAGGCCGCAGGCAGTCGTGGGACCTAGGCTGCATGCAGACGTGGGACGTAGGTGGGTTGGGGTTAGTTCCAGTTCTAGTTTACCGGTCGTTAAAAGCATCAGAAAGCCAGAAAACCTAGTCTTACCACCCTCTAAAATGTTGGACTGTCCTGTGATGTCATGGTAGGATATTAATAAAGAACCCACATTATGTATTTTTCGCATCATTTACTGTTATTATATGTACGTAGATTGGATTTTTGTGTGTTTTGTGTACCATTTTTATAACCTGCTTGAATAAAAATAGTGTGTAACTAGGGCTGTACCGAATAGGGATTTTCACCATTCGGCCGAACACGAATAGCTTGACCAGCTATTCGGCCGAATACAAAGTGTATCATCATCCGGTGCCTTGCGATCTCCTGCAGCATGTATTAGTTCGTGTGCTGACACACCTCCATGCCATGCAACAAGACTGTCAAGAATCTTCTCTCGTTGTCTTCCTCTATCCCTCCTTCCATAGATCTTTCCAGTGGTCACAACATGTTCCACGTTCCCTCTTCTCATAACATGGCCGAAAAAATTAGTCTCCTTCTGATTTCTGTGATTAGTTGTCTTCGGGCTCCCGCCGCTTTCAAAATCTCTTGGTTGCTTTTTTGGGCTGTCCAATGCATTTTAAGCATTGTTATGTAAAACCACATCTCTGAGGCCTCAAGAAATTGTTTGGCCTGCCTACCGATTGTCCAGGACTCACAGCCATATGTTAAAACTGGATACTGTACCACGCAACCTTCCACCCAACCCCCAAATTAAACCCTGGAGTCAAAACAGGAAACTACATCTGACTGATATTTGACAAATTGGTCTTTAGGTTACGTCGTTGGACAGCCAAAAACAGCAACCAAGAGGTTTTGAAAGAGGCGGGAGCCCGAAGACAACTTATCACAGACATCAGAAGGAGACAGTCATCATTTTTGGCCATGTTATGAGAAGAGGGAAAATAGAACATGTTGTGACCATGGAAAGATCTGTGGAAGGAGGGATAGAGGAAGACAACGAGAGAAGATGCTTGACAGTCTTGTTCCATGGCATGGAGGTGTGTCAGCACACGAACTGATACATGCTGCAGGAGATCGCAGATTATGGAGAGGCATGATCGCCCATGCCAGTCGGCAAGGCACCTGATGATGATGATGAGGTTACGTTATCACAATTGATGTCTTTGCACATTGGTCATCACCATGCGTGCTCAGTCCTCCGATGCAGCAGTCACCCCAAGGTACCTCTGCTGATTGTTCCAATGAGAAGCTGGTTATAGTATCTCCTGTCTTTACCTCGAAGACAGCATAGACTTGCTTCATCAAGCACGAGTCCTCGGTCACGCAGTCGTTCTGCAGTCACAGATTCGCCATTATCCCTTCAGTCTAGTACGTACAGCGTTGTTGATACCAGCTCTGTCCAAACGTTGATGATACCAGTTCTGTCCATACGATGATGATACCAGCTCTGTCCATACGTTGATGATACCAGCTCTGTCCATAGGATGATGATACCAGCTCTGTCCATACGTTGATGATACCAGCTCTGTCCATACGTTGATGATACCAGCTCTGTCCATAAGTTGATGATACCAGCTCTGTCCATACGGTGATGATACCAGCTCTGTCCATACGTTGATGATACCAGCTCTGTCCATACGTTGATGATACTAGCTCTGTCCATACGTTGATGATACTAGCTCTGTCGATACGTTGATGATACTAGCTCTGTCCATGCTTTCTCCCGTTTGCATTGGTCTGTTGATTGCCTGCTTAACGTGTTTTCCTCTGCTTCCTCTCTCCCCCTCTCGTCCTCCTCCTCCTCGTCGACTGTCAGGCTCGGTTACCCGAGTGCCGACCCGGCATCAGTCCCACAGATATGCCGGAGAAGTGCGAGCACCGAGAGGAGATCCGATGGCGGCCAAACCGAGTGGTGGACGGTGACCTGCTGATGTACCTCCGGGCTGCCAGGTGAGTGACCTCAGTCTGTCGAATGGTGTTGAAAATGTGGCGATGTATGTTTGTTTTGTTGATCTTCTCTTGCCTGACAGCTAACAAAGGGGGGAAACATGTATATAGATAGCCGTTCATTTGTTAAATCCGATGCTGAAGAAATTTACGCCGAAGAACACTGCAGTAGAGCACGATGGAGAGAAAGGCAAGAAAGAAATTTTCAATCAGCAAAGAAGACGTCGATGACGTTCTTCTTCTTCTTCTTCTTCTTCTTCTTCTTCTTCTTCTTCTTCTTCTTCTTCTTCTTCTTCTTCTTCTTCTTCTTCTTCTTCTTCTTCTTCTTCTGCTTCTTCTTCTTCGCGTTCACCAGCTGTACACTCTGGCGGTAAGTTCTTGTTGCTCGTCCACTACTGAACTGCAGTCCTGCTCCAGAACATGAGTGTTGCGTGTGCATCAGTTTTACGTTAAACGTAAATGGACAGGACAAAATTGAAATGTGACATCAGCAAATAAGACGTGGATGACGTTAAACAGGAATAGACAGGGGAAAAAGAGGGGGGAGGGGGAGAGAGAGAGACTGTGACTGTGAAACAAGAGAGAAAAGGAGGAAGAAGCAGAAGACACTTGATATAAACTTTTGTTTACAGTCGCCCGATGTCTTAACTGTTGTTCAGTGAACATGTTTCACATTTGTATGTTATCTTAGGAGCATAGCAGCTTTTGCGGGGATGTGTGGCGGGACAGGTGAGGACCGGTGCGAGGCGGAGGCGATGGATGCGACGACTGTCAACGCTCTGGACACGGTAAGAGAACCAACCTTGTGCTGTTTTGCTTTTCTTGTAATTTACTGCATCTTGGTGACTGGTGACTTTATTTTTAGTTTCTTGTATCTTCTTTTTTCTTGACAACTTCTTCTTCTTTCTTCTTTGCGTTCACCAGCTGTAAACTCCGGCTGAAAGTTCTGGTTGTTCGTCCACTTCTGGACTCCAGTCCCGTTCCAGAACCTGAGTGTTGCGTGTGCATCCATTTTACAGATCTGACTCATTTGCATGTAGACTGCTGGTTCCTTGCCTCTCAGGCAAATGCACTCCGACTTCGAAGGAAGCTCCCAATTAGTCGGCTCTTACGACATGCTTTTGGGTAGGCAGTGGGTCTATTCTTGTTTTCCCTATAATAGGGCCCCGGAACACACATGGGGAACTTGACAACTGAAATCTCTCCTTGTTTCTCATAACTTTTTTTCTTTTCTTTTTAATGTAGCTTATATAGATTCTTGATTCATGTATACTCATTACGTTTTTGGTTAACTCGAATCTTGACTTGATTCTCAGAACTTCACATATCTTGGTAACTCGAACCTTGACTTGATTCTCAGAACTTCACATATCTTGGTAACTCGAATCTAGACTTGATTCTCAGAATTTCACATATCTTGGTAACTCGAACCTTGACTTGATTCTCAGAATTTCACATATCTTGGTAACTCGAACCTTGACTTGATTCTCAGAACTTCACATATCTTGGTAACTCGAACCTTGACTTGATTCTCAGAATTTCACAGGTCTTGGTAATTCGAGTCAAGGTTTGCCTTAATTTGTCAAATTTGGTGTAGTCCTTGAGTACATGTTCTTCTGTCTGTGTCATCTTTCCACAAGTGCACATGGTTGATACGCCTATCTTGAATTTTGTGTACATGTGGTTACGTAATCGGTTTTGCCCTGTTCCACAGTAACAGTGATTTGTAGTTTTATATTTTATAATTGAGAAACCAAAAGTGGCACGGATGTGCAGGTTAGGATTGTTAGCATTTCTCCATCTCTCTCTTTCTTTCTGTCTCCCTGTCTCTCTCTCTCTCTCTTTCTCTCTCTCTCTCTCTCTCTCTCCCCCTCTCTCTCTCTCTCTCTCTCTCTCTCTCTCTCTCCCCCCCCTCTCTCTCTCTCTCTCTCTCTCTCTCTCTCTCTCTCCCCCCTCTCTCTCTCTCTCTCTCTCTCTCTTTCTTTCTCTGTCTCTCTCTCTCTCTCTCTCTCTCTCTCCCCTCCCCTCTCTGCCTCCCTTTCTACCAGGGCTGCCAATGGGAATTTAAACAAAAAACCCAAGCAATACATAGACAATGAACAAACAAAAAACCCAAGCAATACATAGACAATGAACAAACAAAAAACCCAAGCAATACATAGACAATGAACAAACAAAAAACCCAAGCAATACATAGACAATGAACAAACAAAAAACCCAAGCAATACATAGACAATGAACAAACAAAAAACCCAAGCAATACATAGACAATGAACAAACAAAAAACCCAAGCAATACATAGACAATGAACAAACAAAAAACCCAAGCAATACATAGACAATGAACAAACAAAAAAACCCAAGCAATACATAGACAATGAACAAACAAAAAACCCAAGCAATACATAGACAATGAACAAACAAAAAACCCAAGCAATACATAGACAATGAACAAACAAAAAACCCAAGCAATACATAGACAATGAACAAAAAAACAAAAAAAAACCAGATTGTTAAAATGTACAAAATTTATAGTTACGAAACGAAACATTTACCACTTTTATATAAGGATATATATAAAAAAAAAAAAAAAACTCCCAGATTTCCCTGAGGCCTCTAAGAAAAAACCAGATCTGGGGGGGGGGGGGGGGACCCAGCATTGGCAGCCCTGCTTTCTACCTTCGTCAGGTAAGAAAAAGTTTTTGCCATCACCTCATAAAGGAACAGAAAACCAGGTGGTCCAAATGAGTGTCCCAAGGTTCTGTCTGTGTGCGCCAGCAGGAAGTACAGTACTTCAGAGTGTCAGGTGCAGTCCTGTTTGGTTGGTAAGCGGTTTTCATACGCAGGTCTTTGGTGTCTCATTGGCGAAGTCCTCAAGCCGTTGGGCCAGACCTCTGAAGGTCCTGTATTCGTTTCCCAGCTGCATCGTTCTGTTGATGGGTGCATTTTTAACGAAGATCCCGAGGCGTCCTCATCGGAGCTACGGGGTTTGTGTTTTGTGCGACGCTGTTGGCAGGCGGCTAGCTGTTCTGCGGAGAGAGACCGAGTCTTATGGAATACAACTAAGTGCAATGAAGTATATCCTCTCACTTTTCACTACCTTTGAAACACGCTAGTCTTATCACGTGACGCGGAGAATGTGCGGAGAAAGGTAGTGAAATCTGGACGCGCCTGCTAAAGTAATCCCAGCTTGTCGAAAGGATTTCGCGGGAATGTGCGAAGTAGATTACACTTCTGTAAACTGTTTTAGCATCCCAGATGAAACATGCGAAATTGTTGTGAAAAACCGACCCAGGGAGGTCGGCAGAAAGGAAGGCATATTATTATTTGGTCTGCTAATTCGAAACACCACGGCATATTTACGTTGCCACGGTTGTTTATTTAATTAGCGTGGTTTGTGGAACGTGCGAGGGCGCCATGTTTAGGATATAAGGTAGAAGGGGAGTTAAATTGTTTGATCGGCTGATAAGGATGTCTGGAAGGAAAGAGCATCTGTAAGGAGGTGAAAGTTGAAACGCTGCGTTTCGGTGCTGAGGTAAACGATCAAGGAAGAGATGGGTTTAAGTGTGGGGTTTATGTGGGATGAAGGGGTTGATGATGGAGTTGATTACCAAAACCAGTGAATGTTTCGAGGGAGAGGGATGAAGATAGGAAAGAAAGACGAACCAGTAACTGGGTGAAAGAAGAAGGGAAGAGGAGGTTCAGTGGAAGAAGAGAAGGAAAGAAAGATTACAAGAAAGACAGAAGAAGAAGAAGGAGAGGTTATGTGTGGACATTTCAGAGTTGAGGTTATTGGTTTCGCTGTGGTAAGGAAAGACGTGGGTTTAAGACAGGAACCAGAAAACATACGAGTGAGAGGGGCCAAGATGGGAACCAGAAAACGTACGAGTGAGAGGGGCCAAGATGGGAACCAGAAAACGTACGAGTGAGAGGGGCGAAGATGGGAACCAGAAAACGTACGAGTGAGAGGGGCGAAGATGGGAACCAGAAAACGTACGAGTGAGAGGGGCGAAGATGGGAACCAGAAAACGTACGAGTGAGAGGGGCCAAGATGGGAACCAGAAAACGTACGAGTGAGAGGGGCGAAGATGGGAACCAGAAAACTTACGAGTGAGAGGGGCCAAGATGGGAACCAGAAAACGTACGAGTGAGAGGGGCGAAGATGGGAACCAGAAAACGTACGAGTGAGAGGGGCCAAGATGGGAACCAGAAAACGTACGAGTGAGAGGGGCGAAGATGGGAACCAGAAAACGTACGAGTGAGAGGGGCCAAGATGGGAACCAGAAAACGTACGAGTGAGAGGGGCGAAGATGGGAACCAGAAAACGTACGAGTGAGAGGGGCCAAGATGGGAACCAGAAAACGTACGAGTGAGAGGGGCCAAGATGGGAACAAAGGATAAACCAGTAACTGGGCGAAAGAAAGAAAAAGAGAAAGGTAGAAAGAACGAGGATTGAAAGAAAGAAGAAGTTCTGTGTGAAGATGTGGAAGTTATGTAGCGTGGCTTCGTTGCAGAGGAAAAACAGTCATTGAGGAGGTAGATTTAAGTGTGGGTGCGAGGGTGAGGGAGTTGATGAAAGGAACCAGAAAATGTAATTTGAAGAGGAATACAAATGGAAAAGGAAAAAAATACGTCAATTACTGGATGAAAGACAGATAAATAAAGACAGATAAATAAAGACAGATAAATAAAGACAGAAGAAGAGAAAGGAAGACAACAGAATTACAGAGGCAGAAGAAACAGAAAGACAGAATAATAGTAATAATAATAATAAGAAGAAGAAGTGAGTACATGTGTATGGAGATGTGAAAGTTAAGAGGGGGGGGGGGGGGTCAGGGAAACGAAAAGTTGTAGGTGTCGACTTGGGATGAGGGACAAAGGGATGGAGGCAATCAAAACAATAAGAAAATAAAGGGGCAAGAGAAGGAGGATACATTATTACCTGAAGGAAAGAAAGAAATGAAGAAGGTTAAAAAAAAAGAAGACAAGAAAGCAATACAAAATGAAGAAGAATCCAGGAATAAAAATTTAAAAAAAAATAAGGCGTGGGGGAAAAAAAGAATAACAAGCAGCTGGTGACAAAATAACGACTCTGAACGACGAAAGATATAATGAGAAGTGGTGGATGCTAAATCAGAAAACAGCTGAAGCTAAAGAGGAGGAGTGAGATCTGTAAAACAGAAGTGCACGCAACACACAGTCCTGAGGCGGATGAACAACCAGCACTTTCCGGCTGAGATTACATTGAAGAAGAAGAGGGGAGGGAGAATAAAGAAGATTTAGAAGAGGGAGCAGTCGAAGAAGAAGAAACTGCATGAGAAAAAGGTTAACATTAAAAAAATAAGAACTACGGCTAACAACAACGAAATGCAGGAGAGGGCAAAATTGCAGCATCATCTGGTATGTTCACTTTTTCCCCGACCACCGCTCCTCTGGGACCGACTCATCAGTGCAGGACTGCCAATGAGATTGTAATCAAAACCTATGCTAGGCTGACCAACAAACTCAGGAATACATAAACAAAGAACAACCCCTCCCCCCACCCCGCAAGAATGCTAAAAAGTCAAATTTTATAGTAAGGAAACGAAACATTTACTCAACTTTTATGCAAGAATATTAAAAAAAAAAAAAATCAAGATTCCTAAATCTAAACCCAAGGCATCAAATAAAAACGCAGATCTTGGGGGAAAACCCAAGTCAGTGTGGTTAAAAAAAAATGCCTACGGAACAGTTTTCAGGATTTGCAGACTATCTTCCAGGAAACAGACGCACAGAAATCGTGGTGACCT